TAGGGTTAGGAGAGGTGGATTATGGGAGATTATGGGGACGAGTTTTACACACACACACACACACACACACACACACACACACATCACATTAAATAAAAAAACCCTCCTGGATTATGCAAAGTACTAAGTGTTAGAGAATTAACACCAAAACCAATTAAACAGATCATGGCACCATTGTGCCGGGCACTGCACAGATCCCAGCTGAGATCAGGGCCCCATTGCACTGGGTGCTGCACAGCCCCAGAGTGAGAAGAACGTCCCTGCCCTCCGGAGAGCTCACAGTCTAAACAGACGAAGGCAGAATTATTTCCCACATTTTACAAATGGGGAAACTGAGGCACAGAGCAATCAAGTGACTTTCCCACAGTCACCACCAACTTCTTCCATAGAGGCTACGAGACGGGGAATGACTCACCACCAGATTACAACCACACTCAACAGCCAGTGACGAGTGCCAGCAATGGGGAGAGTGGGGAGGGGGGCAGTTTGGAGCCAGGAGTCCTGAGTTCTCTCCCCAGCTCGGGGAGGGGAGCGGAGTCTAGTGGATTAGAGCAGGTGGGGCAGGGAGCCAGGACTCCTAGGGTCTAGCCACAGCTTGACTCCATACCCTGAGCCAGCCAGTTCCCCCACCCTGGGGCCAGCTGGGGAGGGTATAGTGTAACCTAGCAGCTCTGTGTTCTTGGAGAACCAGGGCGCAGTACCCAGCCCGTCTGACTCATGAAAGACCTTCCCCCTCCCCAGCCTCTGCTTGAACCAAATCTGCATCAGAAGAAAGACAAAAAGCAATGGAAAAGCCGTGGGAGACACAGGCGTGCGCACGGGGTGTGCCGGGTGTGCCCCGGCACACCCTAATGCCCGGAGCTCCGGCTGGGAAGGCTGCTCCTCCCCTGTCCCCTCCTCAGCTGTTTGCTTGGCAGGCTCAAATCAACTGCTTCCTGCCTCCCTGCTCCGGCAGGGCCCGAGTGAGTCTCACACACACACACACACACACAACAAAAAGCCTTAGGGTTAGGTGTGGGCAGGAGTGCGGGGCTACCAGCAGCCGCACAGCCAGCCCCTGCTTGCCGAGGGCTGCCCCGCATCTCTTGGGCTGGTGGCCATGGCGTCCACATGTTTGGCTGCTCCCTGCCAGCCAGGCTCCACTCCGGCCACAGCAGGCAGCAGGTGACCCAAGGGAGCCCAGCTAGGCTAGGGCTGGGTGCAGTGGGAGAAGCTCCAGATACCAGCAGGAGCCATGAGGGGGTGGGGGAAGAGAAGCCCCAGATGGGGCTGGAGCCACGTGGGGGGAGGGAGTGTGGGGGGAGGAGAAGCCCGGACCCCGGCAGGAGCTGCACTGGGGGGGAGAAGCCCAGACCCCGACAGGAGCTGCACTGGGGCGGGGAGAAACCCGGACCCGGCAGGAGCTGCACTGGGGAGGGCAAAGGAGCCACACTGGGGCAGGGAGGAGAAGCCCTGGATCCTGGCAGAAGATGTGGGGTTGAAGTCCCCGTCTCGGGAGCCCCAGCCACCCTAGTGGCAAAAGTTGCAGGGCTGAAGCCCTGACCCCACTATGTGTGGAGCTGGCCTGAGCCCCTCTGTCTCCCATTCCACCTGTGGAGCTGGGGCTGTGCGCTTCCTTGGGGAGGCTAGGAGCCTCGTCTCATGGTAAGGGGTCCAGGGCCAGGGGGCTTGGATAAGGGGTGGGGGCAGTCAGGGGACAGGGAGCAGGGTGGGTTGGATAGGGGGTGGGATCCCGGGGGAGTGGTTAGGGGCAGGGGGTCTCTGGAGGGGGCAGTCAGGGAGCAGGGGGGGTTGGATGGGGCATGGGAGTCCCACAGTCTGTCAGGGGTCAGGGCAGTCAGGGGACAGGGAACAAGGAAGGTCCTGGGGGGGCAATTGGGGGGGTCTTTGGAGGCGGTGGTCAGGAGACAAGGAGCTAGGGGGGTTGCATGAGTCAGGAGTTCTGGGGGGGCTGTCAGGAGGCAGGGGTTGGAGAGGGGTTAGGGGAGGCAGGGAGCAGATGGGGTTGTATGGGTCAGGAGTTCGGGGGGGGGGACCTGTCAGGGGGTGGGGAGGCGGTTGGATAGGCGTGGCAGTCCTGGAGGTCTGTCTAGGGGCAGGGATGTGGATAAGGGTCGGGGCAGTCAGGGGACAGGGAGCAGGGTGGGTTGGATAGGGGGTGGGATCCCGAGGGGGTGGTTAGGGGCAGGGGGTCTCTGGAGGGGGCAGTCAGGGAGCGGGGGGGGGGGCGGGGGGGGGGAGTGGGGGGGGTCTTGGGAGGCGGTGGTCAGGAGACAAGGAGCTAGGGGGGTTGCATGAGTCAGGAGTTCTGGGGGGGCTGTCAGGAGGCAGGGGTTGGAGAGGGGTTAGGGGAGGCAGGGAGCAGATGGGGTTGTATGGGT